CACTATTGTCTTTAGTGATGAGTCTCGATTTTGTTTAGGCATGCACGATGGTCGTGCCAGGGTTAGAAGGCGACGTGGTGAAAGGAGGAATCCACAGTTTTTTGTTGAAAGACCTGTTCATCACACTGTTGGAGTTATGGTTTGGGGTGCTATAGCTTATGGTTCCAGGTCACCTTTCATCTTCATTAGAGGTAACATGTACGCGCAGCGTTATATCCACGAAGTTCTAGAACCCCATCTTTTACCCTATCTTGACACCCTGGCAGATCCAACTTTCCAACAAGATTATGCCCGACCACATGTTGCAAGAGTCACAATAGACTTCTTTCAACATAATTGAGCACGTGTGGGATATGATGGGTAGGAGATTGCTCAATTCGCAACGTCCTCCTCAGACCCTAGAAGCACTTCGAGAAGAGTTGGTGGTTGCCTGGAATGAGATACCACAGGAGGACATTGACCACCTGATCAGAAGCATGCCTAGGCGCGTTGGAGAATGCGTAGCACATCAGGGTGCATCCACACATTATTAAAGGTCAAAGGGCTTTAAAGCAGTGCAATCATTTTGAAATTTTTATCATTTACTTATTATGCTTCATTAAGTACTATTATACAAAATTTTATTAAAATAAAACCATTTAAACTGGGTGTTCGGATTTATATGTCACTTAGTATACATTGTAATGATGTGGTTACAAATATGTGTGTCTTGCTTGACGGTCCGCGAGGAAGTCCCTTCTGCGGCGGTGTTGCTTCTCGGCAGTCGTGACGTCAGCGCGACGGCCAGTGGCGGAGGCGAAGGTTACAAAATGCTTGTACAGCATCTGTAAAATGCCACCAAAAGAAACTGAAAGCTCAATTTAGCCAAATAATGGACTAATGCCGTTTTCCCCCGGTACCCTTCAATGTCTTCATCTATTTATTTGTTATTAATTAGGTTTGTATTTGGCAAGGGCTGCAAAGGCAGCTGAAACGTTACTGAACTGGTTGATTCAGCATTTGTGGTTTCATTTATTATCGCTCACGAGAGACGAGTACACTGCCTCTCTAAGGGAAGAGGATTTCATCTGCGTTTAAATTGGATCACCTACTTGTAATTTCAAGAGAAATGCAATTTCTGTTTGATACATGAAAATAAGATATTACTACAGCACTGCAGGCGGCAGGAGAAAATTTTTCTCTTGGCTATGTATGTTGTGATGGTCCGTAGGTGGTAGACGGTCTCTGACTGTCGAACGCGGAGGTTCCACCCGGCGGATCTCGTAGGCGGAGCCAGAATGAGTGTTCACTGGCCAGAGTCCGTGTGGCGTTCCCCCTTTCCCCTGTATCCCCCTATAGCCACTCGGTACCCAATGGGTGTTTAGGCCTTCGAGGTAGTTGGAGTATAAAGAAAAGCAATGAAAATACAGTTATACCAGAGTTCGTAATCACCAGGGAACGTTTATAGCATCATAAAAAACTGTATATAATAGAAAATAGACGAGCAATAAACTTGAATTTATGTTCATATCTATGGGTGCATTATACTTAAAACACATAACCCATCCGAATAGAAAAGCCTCGTTATTCGTGAAATCGCCATATCATAGAAATCGTAAATCATACACCTCATGTTTGTTCAGATTATTCAATTTATTCTTGGAATAAATCTTTTGTTAAAAAGCTGTTTATATGTTTCTTATTAGCTCCATAAGACGAGAAGTCTGAACCCGATTTTTATCTCCAGATCTGGTGAGTAACGAAGAAAAAAGTAATTATTTTCAAGCAAACTCCTAATTTGTTATCCGCCTTTTTGTCGAACAGTACAGAATTTTTTAACGCAGCTTTCATTATCGTACGTACTTAGCGAGATTTTGTAGAATTTCGATTCGAAAACAGTTTCCCTGTAAATAAGGAAGGTATCATCTGTTTTGAGTTGGTACACTTACTTGCAATGTTTGAAAGAAATGGAATTTCTATCGTGATAAATAAAAATATGATAATACTACAGCAATAAAAATGCACGTACAAACATTGTAATCATAGAAATATATGTTCAGTTCATGCAATTTATTCGTGGAATAAACCTCTTGATGAAAATCTGTTCATACGATCTGTATTAGCTTCACTATAAATTCTTTACTTAATATGTTTCCCCTTGTTTAGATCTTCGCAAATGTTTCATTATCTTATCAGTCGTTTCTTTGATATTTTACCGGAGCCTTTTGACCAAAAAATTGAGTTACACCCTTTTAAGTCCATTATAAGTAATAAAAGACTGCTTTCAACAGATTAGCATTATCGGAAAAGCTTTCATCTAAATGTTTAATTTTTTTTTGGAATACTTTTTCATTCAGCAATCGCTAACTTACCTCAGTAGCTTAGAAGCACAACTCCTCTACCTTCGCCCTGCTTCTACGTGCTGAGGTTGGTTAGTAACGTTGTTACACATGACATGTCTAAAATGAAAACAAAATCTTCTATGTATTCACACCCTGCTTCCAGGTGTTGCGATTGGTTAGTGGCGATGTTAAACATAATATGTCTGAAATGAAAACAAAACCCTCTATGTCTTCACAAACTATTGCTACGATAACGCCAATGCTTTTATTCTACATCAGCGTCTTTTTACACTTTTACGCTATGGTAAGGTCTGTCAGGATCACGTCTGAACCACAAGACGTAAACATTAACGCACTTACTAACTGCAACGCCAGAAAGGTTATAGGCATGGTTAATATACTAAGTGACATATAAATCCGAACACCCAGTTTAAAAGGTTTTATTTTAATAGAATTTTGTATAAGTACTTAATGAAGCATAATAAGTAAATGATAAAAATTTCAAAATGATTGCACTGCTTTAAAGCCCTTTGACCTTTAATAATGTGTGGATGCACCCTGATGTGCTACGCATTCTCCAACGCGCCTAGGCATGCTTCTGATCAGGTGGTCAATGTCCTCCTGTGGTATCTCATTCCAGGCAACCACCAACTCCTCTCGAAGTGCTTCTAGAGTCTGAGAAGGACGTTGCAAATTGAGCAATCTCCTACCCATCATATCCCACACGTGCTCAATTGGGGATAAGTCGGGAGATCTTGGTGGCCATGGTAACAATGTGACATCATTATGTTGAAAGAAGTCTATTGTGACTCTTGCAACATGTGGTCGGGCATTATCTTGTTGGAAAGTTGGATCTGCCAGGGTGACAAGATAGGGTAAAAGATGGGGTTCTAGAACTTCGTGGATATAACGCTGCGCGTTCATGTTACCTTTGATGAAGATTAAAGGTGACCTGGAACCATAAGCTATAGCACCCCAAACCATAACTCCAACAGTGTGATGAACATGTCTTTCAACAAAAAATTGTGGATTCCTCCTTTCACCACGTCGCCTTGTAACCCTGGCACGACCATCGTGCATGCCTAAACAAAATCGAGACTCGTCACTAAAGCCAGTACTGTTCCATTCCTGATCCCAGAGTGACCGTTGTCTGCACCACTCAAGGCGATTACGTCGGTGTTCTCGAGTTAAAGGGAGGACCCAGTGTGGCCGGTATGAAAACAAGCCAAAACTTCTCATTCGTCGGTAAACACTTCGCATGCCAATAGGTCTTCCATGTTCTGCAAACCATTCATTTGCAATGGACCTGGTAGTGGAGAAACGGTCCCTTAAGGCCAATAATCTTAGGCGGCGATCTTCACGGTCTGTTGTTCTACGGCGGCGTCCAGTGCCCCTTGCTCTTTGCATACGACCTTCTCGAAGCCATGCCTGACAACACCTAACCACAGTGTCTACACTTCTTTGCACTCTAATTGCAATTGCCCGAAAAGAAAGTCCAGCTAAGTAAACTCACTAAGTTTACGAAAGCGTACAGGTGATTCTTTACTGCGGCTGAAATATTCATTTTTAGAGCGTTAGTGCATTGAAAAGAAAGCAGTATAAAAACCGGAATGTCCAACTGATAAGGCTGAAAATTTTTTCACTTGCTATTTACAGTAAGATAAATACATTCACCAACTTTTATTAAAATAAAACCATTTAAACTGGGTATTCGGATTTATATGTCACTTAGTATATGTGAAAATATATAGATAGCTCAAAATATCACGGAAAATCCGTTTCCCAAAGAAAAATGTTGTGTCACAAAATTGTAAGGCTTAAGAAGATTCATCCACCGGTGATCTAGAACGTGACCTTGACTACCATTTTCAAGGTCATTTGGAGGTTACAGTTTTATGTAATGAAACCCTTATTTTTCATAACGGAAATGCAAAGAGCGGTAAATTTTGCTTCAAAGTATATCTTGACCTTGACCATGACCTTAGCGGGGATTTGAAAATAGAGAAAGGACAAAAAATACATTTCATAAAGGAAAACGGTAACATAGTTGTAAGGTTTGAAAGTATTCATCTAATGGTGACCCTGAACGTCGCCTTGAGCATGACCTCAGTTGAAGGTTGATTCAGTTTTCTGATACCTAAAATTTAGAGAGGAAGGAACTTTAAGTTCAAGTATGCCCATGACCTTGATTATGACCATCAAGGTTATTTGAAGACCAAATTAAATCCTTGCCAATGAACCTGGCCATGCCCTTCAAGGTCGTTGTAAGATCAGATAATTTTCTTCGTAAACTTATAATACTTTCTGTCGACGTTATTAAATAGCGAAATATTGATACCAATTTATTGCTGCATCACAATGTTGCATGAAAGATGTTCATTGAACTACTTTGGATATTCTATTTCTTCCTTCATACAAAACAAATGACCTAATATGTCATTCGACCGTTGCCTTGGGTTTAGTCTTAAACTGTAAATGACTAGTACCGTTTATTCCTTAGTTCGTATGACCTTGTATCGAATTCGAGTTAGAAAAACCTGGTTCCGTTTAAAGGTTTGGCGATTGACTCATGAAAACAAAACATGTGTTTCGAAAAAATGTGTCATCATTGACCCTTCCTAAAGCTACATTGGATGTATTTCGTAAATTTTCAACTAAACCGCTTTTTCTTATTTTCAGTTGCTGTGGTGGTTGCGTTTTTCATCTGCTGGGCTCCTTTTCATGCTCAGAGGCTTCTCGCCATATATGGGGAGCACATTTCCCTGTCCATCACAACTTTCGAAGTGTTGACATACATTTCGGGAGTGCTGTACTACCTCTCCACTACAGTCAATCCACTGCTCTATCACATCATGAGTCACAAGTACAAGGCTGCTTTTAAGGTAGGATGTTATTATTTGATCACTTGATCTGGTTGCCATCATACAAAGTATCGGATGACGCACAACACATATATAAAATAGTGTACTATCAAATGCTACTTCTAAGGGATAAGCTTAACATAATCGAATTTGAGAAGAAGCAAGGTAAAATTAGATGTCCACTAAAAATGGCATACAGCTGAAGTTCACAAGTTTGTATTCTTCTACTAATGTACTTGTACTTTCCGCAAATAACTATTCGTGAAACAACAGAGCTAATGTGCGGCGAACAATAACAAAAGTCGACACTTAATAAAGAAAATTAAGGAGCACCCCGTCACATGTAACTGATGGATACTGTTCGAAGTTGTCGCTTTTTGATTAAAAAAATACAAGCTCACTACGGCGCCGTTCTTGCAAAAGGCACGTGTTCGTGCAGTGCAGGACGCAAACGTTCAGGGAAACGACCCGGTAACAATCGTAAAGCCTCGATAGGCAATGGAGCTGTGCCATTTTGTTTTTGTCTTCAAATCCTACTTGTAAAGAAACAGCTCTGTTGACCTATAAGATGGCTAAGTCAAGTACTGAGGCACGTCATATATTATATGTAAGCATTTACTGGAGACGTGTGTTACTAAGAAATTTGCTTGCCTTTACAAAAACTGTATTATGTGTGGAAGAAGGTCTGAGCCTTGAAACACCGTGTATATATTCATTAACACCATGAAGACTAGACAGCAGGTTACACTGCTTAAGGGAAGACACGTATATGTACGAAGTCAATACTGGCGAAAAAGAGGGCTTGACCTCGGAAATGCAGTGCGCGTAGATCTTCTGCGCACATATCTACACGCACGTGAAACAGTTAGAGACAGGTATGCGTACATGAGGGTGGTTCCATATGTGCAGAACCTAAAATACACCACTGATGCTATGAATATAGCAGACATCCTGGCTTCATGCTCGACATTACTTTCTTTATCCCCTCCTCTCCCCCTTCATGATTCACACTAAGCGTCTGTCCATTAAGCTTAATTCAAACCTGAGTTGAAACATAGCTTGCACAGTTTGTAGACACCTGCTAATACATGTACTAGTCTCTGGTAGAATTTGACTCTCATTTATTCGCAATAATAATAAACGTTATGATAGTCATTATTGTAATGGGTAACAGGGGGGGTCATAACAAGTCAAAAAGTTCATATGACCCATGGTCCAAAAGTAAATAGATTTTTGTCTGAATCGCTTCGTAGTTTACAACTTTGAGTGCCTTATATCGACCACAACCACCACAATCTTACTAATTTTTATAATCTAATCTAGAAAGTTTTTAAATTGGGTAATTAACAAATAAATGGCATCAAGTTTTTCTAAGTTAAGCCAAAACTTGTAGTCAGTAAGTAAGTTTCAATAAATTAAATATTTAAAACACACATGACAACAGTGTGTCGGTCTTTCATCACTCTTATCGAACCGGCAATCGATCGCAAACGGTAACAGTGGTTAGACGTAATTTGCGTCTGGCATTGCGGCGTTGTCATTTTACTTTAAAGCCGCTTTTCTCTAAAAAAATGCCGGTTTGACCCTCATGTCATATGAAACTTTTTGTTTCTTTTAACTCCCTCTATTTAAATAATGACTATCATAACGTTTACACCCTGTATATAATTCTCCATCGATTTCTCAGGATATTTCACACTATCTGAACCCTATTTCAATGTCAAATTCACTGCTCTCGCTATTATCTTTTTTACGCAAGAATAAAGCTCAAGGGATATCCCGACGTGGGAAGTGATCTTTTCTCATGTCATTTCCGCTTTTATAGACATGCCGATCCTTGTTAGTTTTATGACATACCAGGGAAGTTGCACCCTACTTTTCACTACAGTACTTGTTAATCTCTAAAGGTTAAAAGGTGTTCTAGAGCATATCACGGTCTTCTGCTTAATTAGGTTAATTAGCTTTTTAGTCCCTGGAATAGTGGTAACCCTGTGTGTAAACTTTATCAAATCTTAGGGGTACTTTCATATAAAACGTACTTTCTAGTAATGTCACTCAGAAATGTAAGTAACATTCTCTATTTTGTCCAAACTCTATAGAAGCATTCCACGTTATAAGCTCGCGAGCCATGCGATAATATTTCAGACCCAAATACCTACTTTTGAGCCCCGGGGTGAGATACCTCCTGCCGTTTTTATTCTACCCCATAAAAACGTTTCGCAAGCGAGGCGTGTTAGGGGTCGTACGTTTCGAACTGCAGGATCCTAAATTATGTCTTAAACACTTTGCTTTATCACTTACGGAGTCTTAGTTTAACGTGTTTATTTCCACGAGAAAGAACGGACCTAACTCACTGGTGCATCTAAGCTTTTCCAGAAGAAGTAAATTAAAAGCGAATTCTGGAAATATGAAATGGAAGCGAAATCTGATTCAGTTTTCTTTACATGCGACAATTTTGGAACACAGTAGATATTTGCTTTGAGTAAAAGAGAGTAACGTGAACTGATATGGAATATAAAAGAATCATTTTACACCTAAGCCTAATGATTTTCTTGTTAGTAAATTTTCAAACCGCGTTTTATTTTCCATGCCTTTTATTTCGACAGGATATTAATATTTTGTCTGTATGTGATTCGAGCACATCTCTGAATGAAAAAAGTACCTAGTCCAGCATTATACGTTATAGAAATTACTGTAGATACTACTTTATTGATCCAATGATAAGATGTAGAACTGACATAATTTATTTCATATGATATATTATTTGGATTTGGCTGTTTTCAACGCGAAAGACCCTTTCTAAGGGCTTTTAGATTCATAATGAAAGTAACGTATGTTCGAAAAGCTTTGGCTTTGGCATTGGCTTTAATTTTAACAAACACAAAGTAAAATCAAATTGCCTTTGGAAACAAAAGTTTGTTCACTTACTCTACTGTCAGTTGACATTTATTTATTTTGAAGTTTTCGCTTTAAGATGTCTTATAAATTAGAAATAAGAAAAAGTATCTGCAAGTTGGTTGGTCGGGTAGCCAAAACTGACATATTTTGAATATTCCAGAATGAAAATATTTCACACAAAACCATTTATCGAACCATAGTGGAGTGCGAGCAGGGAATACCATGTCTAAGTGCGGATTCCACAATTTAACAAACCATTATTTTGCATCAATAGGGTACGAGTACCAAAGAGACAGTCAAATATACCCAATCAGCCTCAAGATCTCTCCGTCAAATTTTAGGCAGCAAATAGCATCAAAGTATTCCAAACAAAACACTGTAAAATATGAAGTGACAGCTTGTCATTGAAATGTTTTCAGTTTATTGAATATTATGAAGTTATATAAAACCGAGCCAAAATTTTTAGAAAATGCTTGATGTCTGAGTAAAATCCATTTTTTTCAGTTTAGCTGAAGGTTTCTCCATGTTTATTGCAACTTTTGTAATCCATATATGATATATTAACTGAACATCACCTACCGTGTGTTTGTAGTTTATCCTACATTTGCAAACTTGCACTCCCAAACCCTTATATGAAAAAGCCTCTGCACTCAAATTTTTGTTAGGTGTTGCGTTTCATCACATTCATACAGTGTATAAATACGATGAAATGTCCTTCCAGTTCCTCAATGACATTTTAACACCACTGGTCCGAAACTGTTCAAGATTTTCAACATTCATACATACAATTGCAGTTGCAGTTTTTTTGTTTTGATTTCAGTGTATAATCAGTCGCACCATCGGTGATGGTACATGGGGTACACTCAACATAACCACGTATTTGGGGGTTAGTGCATATTTAACGTGTACACGGCAGTATAATATGTAATTCTGCTGAAAAAAAATCTTGGAGGGAGCCCTTTTTATACGGAAATTTTTTCTTCCAAAATTCCATTTTCCACAAATAACACAACAAGGAACCACAGAACATAGACTACAGTGACGTTGGAGAAGGAGAATAGACCAAAGAAGATCGATTATCAATGACAGGATGGAATAGATGCGCTGCGTTGCCATATGTCGCCACCTGAGAAGTGTATACAGTTTAGTCACATAGCGTGGTTGACTGATTTTGAAGTATATTAACATGTAAATCATACATAATAGAGCTCAACAATGAAAAAAATTAAATAAAAATTCTGTTATATATGCGTATTTAATTTATTTATTGTTTGTTATTATTTATTCAGTCTTTTTAAGCAAATATTCCTTTTAATTTTTTTTAATTTTCAATGTCATAAAACTTTTTAGCTCTAACGTGTTCACATGTTAATATATTTGAAATAACAGTCAACCAAGTTGTGACCATACCTCTCAGGTGGCGAAATATGGCAATTCAGAGGTGTTAAAATTCCATTCCATCCTGTGATCGATAATCAAGCTCCTGTAGTCTGTTCTCCAACGTCACTTGTTCTGTGTTGATATTTGACGTCGAGGTACTGCTGAAAATGGTATTTTGGAAAAATTAATTTCCATATGAAAAGTCCCCATCCAATATTTTTTTATTGCAGACTTACATATTACACTGTGGTGTACACGTTAAGCCTGTAATCCCTAAATACGTGGTTAGGTCAAGTGTGCCGTCACCAAACGATTTACAGTAACTACTATTTTCACAACATGCTAGATTTTTCAGCAAATTTCCATATAAATATTTTTGTTTTAATATTGAGGAATTGACGTTTGAAATTAGTGTCTCATAATGTTAGTGCTGGGAGAACGCATTTGTGATTAGTGGAATGCATTGGAACGGTTCAAAAATATGAATGAATCGTTTTCGACTGAAAGACTGGAATATCCACTCCTTTAATGTTTCTATATTTCTTGTGGTAGTTTCAGAGAACTAGAATCGGAAGCCTGAGATTCGTTTTGCTTTTGTGGCACAGAGATACAGTGTTTTCTTCTGATAAAACTAGCCCAGAAACTTTTGGAACATACGTTAGATAAGAATCAAAGTTCAAGTTGGTCCTTTTTGAGTACGCATTTGAACATCTGGTTTATCTCTGATGTCTTGCAGGTCTTAA